AAATACAAAGAAGATGGAAAGTGTGCTGAACGCCCGAAGTCAAATTAATAATCTCCAATTTCAGTTTCCTCCCTATGTGACTGTTAACCTGATAACCCGCTGTATTTTATTAAGCTCATCACCAGGAAGCAGGAAGTCTGTCACAACACAACCCAGATATTAATTTTCCTCGAGCAAACCAGGGACCCATTTTAATCTTCCAACAATCCCACCGCTGGGCCCGAACCTGTCGGTGAAATGCAGTGATGCAGAGGCTTCCCCTTTCACCACGTAGCTTTACACTGTTTTGTAGTTGTTCTGAGGAAACTGAGGAAGTGTAAACACAGCACATTCGTTTAGCACATCTGTGGGGTCAGCTTTAACCTCTTTAATATCTCAGTTAAAACTGTTGCAATTTGCTAAAACTGTTACTGCATTTTGGGGGGAATGGGAAGCAGCTCCACCAGAAACAGGATTTTCCTGCTTTGAACATTTTACATAGAGGCAAAGAAATGAACCAGTGCTGTCAAATAGTAACTGTTTAACCAGTTTTTACATGTATTTTTCTTTACCTAAACACAGCAAACACTATTCTTTTGGTTAAATTGTCAAGACATTTTATGCATCCTGCCTCATTGAGCTCCATTGTAGAGCCCAGTCAGCTCCAGTGTTCACAGGCTCCTGTTTTTCCTGTTTCTTTAAACTCTTTAAAATCTTCTTTTTACTACTTTAAAAAGTGTTGAATGAATGTTTTTATGGAGCCAGGCTGGTTTAAATGGACCCTGTGATATGTTTAAACAGCAGAATTTGCTGCCCAATGTTTAGAGAAGCTTTAAACGTGTAAAGCCACAAACAAGAACAAATTAAAAAAAAATGGATAAAGACGGTAAACAGAGTTAGGGCAGCTCAGCTAATCCAATTTTAATCTAACTACCATTATGGATTCCACTGATTATAAAAACAAGCATATCTTGTTGTAATGTCACTGTAATGTCTTTCCATTACAATGATGCACTTTCAACCTTCTCTAAAACTCCAAACTCACTCCTCTGACGGGATGTGGAAAGTTTTTTCTGCACAACAACAGAGCACCGACATTTATACAATGCTTTTCTAATCTAATCAAATGTTGGTTTCCAGCACAAACGCTGATTACCACATGTAGCTCTCTTCACGACAACACAGACACAGGTCGGTTCTTTGAAACGGGCGTTTATTACTTGGGGCTTCTCTCCTCAGCTTCACCATCACCAGTACGC